ATGAGAGATGCGATCTTTGAAATGTTGATGTGATCATTAACCTTACAAGTGGCCGCGTGTATAAATCTGAACTGCAAAGAGCTTTTACATAATATTTTCACTCATGCAGCAGCTACCAAATCGTGACATAAACATTCCCAGCATCTAGAAGGCTCCCTGCTCTCTCATCAGGGCCCGCCCTCTCCATGGGTAGCAGCTGATCTGACCACTCGTTACTACTCTTTCCTGGTTTTGAACTACAGTCGCCGCAAAACCATACAGTTGTATTCTTCTGTATGGGACTTCCTTCAGTGTGAAAACTGTAGGTTTCACTCATCCTGCAGGTAGCAGAATCCATTCCTCTTTGTGCCGAAGCCTATTCCACTGTATCAATATTGCACAGTTTATCTGCCCACTCCTCCCAATGGACATGAGAGTGGCCATTTTTTTTTTACTATCATAAATAAAAATCTAATTAATGCTCATGTTTATGTCTTTTGATGGCTATGAGCACTCATTTCTGTGGGAGATATACTTTTTTATTTCATTTTCATTTTTTTTAAGATGTAAGTTTTTAAAAGGTGATTTGGAACAGAGGATAGGTGGCAGGTGCGTCAAGCCCAACTTCTGGACACAACTTTTTGTTGGCTGGGTTAGCAAAGGAGCAGACCCATTCAGAGTGTTTTAAATATCATAAAATCAAAGCGTAGATGAAAAATTTAGAAAACAGATTTCCTTTTGGCTTCTGTAAATATCATTGTAATTATCATTGTTTACAGCCAACCACAAGTTAGAGTGGATAGTAAGTGGAAGAACAGTATGCTTTGGCAAGTTTTATTAACTTGTGGTTGAATGGACCCCATAAACAGAACCGTCATTGTCTCATCAAGTAGTCTTGTGTCGCTCCCCGTCTTCGTGAAGGAACGACACAGGACCCTGCGCTGTTCTTTTGTCTGCTCGGCCCTTCCTGGGTTTGCTGCTGGTTCTTCCCGGGTTGGCTACCGACCCTTCCACCTCCGTGGAAGGGCGGTTCCCCCTGCCACTTTCCCCACTTCCGCGGGGGAGCAGCACACCGCCGGCCGGCTCTCTCGGGGGCTGCACAGGTGTTCCTTCAGATAGATGTTCCCCTTAGATGTTCCTCGTGCATGTTGTCTCTCTCCTCCTTTATAGTCCTCTTCCACCAATCCCAACTCTGCTACCCACATGCCGAGCGCGCTGATCTCCTCCAATCAGGAGCAGGTCCTGCTGTTTATTGGTTGAACTGGAGGCAGCTGTGTAGAAGCTGTTTGCTCCTCTCCCAGCGCCATATTGTGGGAGAGCAGATGCATAAAATAAGTCTTAATTCGAGTAACTTAGTCTAGTCCGAGTTGCTCCCCACAGTCTTGAAGCCCTACTTTTCCAGAGACGTGTGTGTGTGTGTGTGTGTGTGTGTGGTGGTAGTGGTGGTGGTGGTGGTGGTGTGGTATGTTGTATCTAAAGTAATGCATGGATTTCTCTGGCTGTGCTTTTTTTTTTTTTTAAATAAACTTGTTTATTTTAAAGGCAGAGTGACAGAGATGGATGGAAAGACACACAGAGAGAGAATCTTTCAGCCAGGGCTGGGCCAGGCCAACACCAGGCGTGTGGAACTTGGCACCTGCTTCTTTCTTTAGAAAGGGGCTATTTGCCTGTGATGAGTTCAGCTGTTCCTGTTTCGTAACAGTGTTTTCTTTATTACATCTGCGGTCCGGGATTTTGTTTTCCCTTTTGTCATTTTTCATGTCATGTTCAGACTTTATTACCTGCTAATAAGTTGCAATCAGAGTGAATTTAATTGTTTATGAACAAATATCAATCATTTGTGATGTGGTAGAAAGTATAGTGAATTGGGGCCGGCCTTGTGGCACAGCAAGTAAAGCTGCCACCTGCAGTGCCAGCATCCCCTACAAGCGCCAGTTGGTGTCTTGGCTGCCACTTCCCCACTTCCAATCCAGCCCCTGCTGTGGCCTGGGAAAGCAACAGAACATGGCCCACGTGCTTGGGCCCCTGCACCCACATAGGACACCCAGATGAGTTCACAGTTCCTGGGTCCTGGCTTCGGCTTGACGCAGCCCCAGGCATTGCAGACATTTGGAGAGTGAACCAGTAGATGGAAGATTCTCATTCTCTCTCTCTCTCTCTCTCTCTAACTCTGCCTTCCAAATAAATAAAAAAAATTAAAATAAAAAATTATAATGACTAATAAATCAGGTTTTACTTACTCTGAATTTTTATATTCAACATTGGCAAATCCCTAAAATTAATAAGTCAGTATGTAATTTTAGATGCTAGAGAGATCAAATAAATGAAAACTAGATTGACCTTGTTAAAATTTGACATTTTTAACATTTACCTATCAGAGTCACTGATTTGGAAGTTGTTATAAATTCTTGAAAAAGAGGAACTTTTCTTCTTACAAAAATAACCATCATTTGGCAAACTACAGTGTCATTTTCCTTGAAGAGAATGTAGTGATTGATTATCCAGAGTGCCACCATGACAAGGTAAACCAACCAAATAGCTGGAAAATTGTATGTAATCATGTAGCATCACAAAGACTCTGTTGAGCACAGCCATTAGCATTAAACCGTGGCATTCTAATCATTCCTTGCTGCTGCTTCCTCTTCATCCCCAAAATCTTGACCTGCAGGGGATATGCAGAGGGGTTTGCAGTCACCTTTTCCTGTCCCCTCCAAATACCGTCAGCACCATTCTGCTCACCCAAAACCTCGGCCACAAACACAGACCGAACCTAATGCACCCAAAGAGATAGCAAAACACAAAGATGTCTCTGTCTAACATCTCTTTACATTCTGGACATATATGACATTCAGAGAGAGGTTTGTTTTTGCATATTAATGCTATTAGTCTTTTTTTTTTTTTTTTTGATAAATAGTGTTGTCCTGAAGATCCTGGGAAATTATAAACCAGCAGAGGAAGGGAAGGGTAAGAGATGTCCACAAAGAGAAGAGAAGATGCTGATCCTGTTGACAAAGCGGGTCCCTTTGTGACCAGCTGTTCGGGAAGGCCAGACACACCTGCTGTGAGTGAGAACAGTCACTCACCCAGTATGCAGCAGAAAGGTGCCAACGCACAACCCAAATCCAGCAGTCATGGGGGCAATAAAGGAGCCATCAGATTACCTTTCATCAATACAGGACTAAATTGAATCACAAGAAAGGAAGGGGCCCCCAGAACTTACCCCAGAGATGACTATCAACAGCATAATTGGGAGTAGAACCAGAGCTTTTCTCCCGACCACCAGAATAATCTCCCCTCGCTCGTCTTCCCTGCAAGGGCTTTTCTTTTAAATGGGCTTTGTTAGAATGGCTGAACTCCGCTCTCCCTGTTAATTGCTGTCCACATTTTGTAGGATATCCCGTGTTCTGAATCCGGATGAGGATTTTAGATGCTCAGTGTGGGGACATGGAGCCGAGCAGAATCAATTCCTGTCACTCACACACGAATACAGAGGAATGGGATTATGGATCAGGGTGAAACTGCAGCGCTTTAATCTTAAAATCAATACAGAAAAGGAAGTTGAACTTGTGGGGATTCTATAGAGACTGTAATTTGGTTTCCTGTGAGGTTTGCCTTACAGAATACAACTGCTCCTTCCTTTTTACCGTCTAATTATTTTCCTGGGGATAGGGCGGGAGGGGGTGGGGAGGGAATGGGGAGAGAAGACAAGAGACCTCTAACACCAAATCATCTTGAATAAATGTGCAAATATAATACACAGCTCCAGCTAATCCTCCATTGTGTTGAGAAAAGCTGTCTACTTTTACCTATTCTTTTAATTTTTAGGAAAAAAAGATTAGTCAAAACTCTGTACCCTATAGTGTGTATTCAAGCGTAATAAAAAGGCTTTAATTTCCTCAAGGGTCACTGTCAGACTGGAAAAATCATTTTTAACATTGACTTTTATGGCTGAAGTCTACCACAGCCTAGGTAATTTTACAGACACACATATTCCTCCGTAATTGGCCAAAGGATTCCAAGTTGCTAGGCTTGTGATGAAGATGTACCCCGTTGTATTTCTCCTTTTGAAGGAGGCATGCACTCGAAGGCTCAGACAACTCCATGTTTTCAAAGACTTGGAAAGTATTTCATATGCCTCTTGTCAGAGATAGTGCTGATTTGGGGCTTTAAGATGAGTATATTACCTTCCCCTTTGGGTATTCCTTTAACTTGTTCTTTAAATACGTATGCAAGGCTGTTTGGGAACCTGCTTTCATAGGGGTAGCAATAACGTGAAATACTGTGATGGTGGGAGCAAGTGATACAGCCATCGGCAGGAGGATCAGGTCTCACTCTGAGGCAGAACCCTCTGCTTGGTTTACATCAGCTTTCTAAGCCGTTGGCTCATCTGTAAGCTGGGGATGATCCTCTGATAGGTGGGGGTGTTGAAATTGAATGAGGCAAAGCATGCAAAGTGCTTACAAATGGCCTTGCATATATAAGAACTCCATGAACCGTCATGATTATCATGACTGTGCGAGTCTCAAGGGAGATAACTTACGCTGTGTACGTGGGAGCATCCTACAAGCTGTAGGACACAGTACAAGTGTTGGTTGTTGTTCCTAATAGATTGATGATTTTTTCAAACTTTTAAAATAAATCATGGAAGGTTTTTTCCTTTGTGTGGCCTGTCATAGGTTCCTAATCTCCAAAGAGAGCCCTGGCTGTGCTAAGTCAGACTCCACGTGACTGTGCGTTTGTTTTCTTAGAAGCTACGGGGATGTCTTGTGGATGCTAAGGAGTCCATTGAAATCCACTTGAAAATTCCTAACCTCTCTCCTTCCAGACCCACACTTGGTCAGGGCTTTGCGATGCCAGCCCTGTGCCACATGCTGACTTTGTCCTTGTGGTCCATATTCATGTATGGCACATCCTCCCAGCAAGCTAGAAGGCATCCTGTCAGCCCTCCTTCCTTGTCCTGGACATTACTTGACTCCAGAAAGCTCATGGGCTGTGGCATCCCCTCTCTCTTTCATCTCCAGAGCACAATCATCGTGGAGAAGACCGTGCAAGACCTCATGAACCTGATGCATGACCTGAGCGCCTATTCGGACCAGTTCCTCAACATGGTGTGTGTGAAGCTCCAGGAATACAAGGACACCTGCTCCGCAGCTTACAGGTAGCTCCTCCCCTGGGGGCCTCAGCCTCGGCACCGTAGAACTGGTGGTCGTTGTGAGACTGCTTCCAGAGGCGAACTTGCACCATAGCTGAGAAGGCCCATCCCCGAGTTTATCCCACCCTTGTTCTCAGAGATCCTTACACACTCATACTGAAAGGGGGAAAGCAAGGGACAAAGGGGCAGAGCCACTCCACACTGCCACTGGGGTTGGCTCAGATGGTGTCAAGACGATTTGTCTTTCTCAAGGATATTCCGTATCTTGTTTGGCCTGTCTTGCGGCTGAACTATCCTTAAGGTATGGCAATTTGAAAGTCTTCATAGTCCATGATAGTATTTCTTGTTCATTCTTAACCAATGTGTTCCAATGAATATTGAATCTGGAGCCTTCCTGCTGTCACACTCCTATTTTCAGCATCGGTGAAAGTGAACACCTGAGGTTAAGATCTTGAAAACCTTTAGTTTTCCCTTGGATTTCTTTTCTCTGGGTTCAAATATCTCTCTGGGCTTCTGGAAAAGATCACAACACTTCTCATAGAAACCTAATAAGAGAATCAAATTATGGCCTTGCCAACAAAAGGTGAAACAGTTAGTGAAGAAGTAGAACATATAATAAACTATTAATTATATGTGATATAATTAAGGACAGGGAGGTACAGTACGTAATGAGGCGCTGCCTGTTCAGCATGGACTACTGGGCAGGAAGAATAACATCCGAGAGAGAGACAAAGTATGGTTGCCATCGGGAATTTTGTCACGGTGAGGTGCACAGACAGGTGATGTGAAGGCGGGGAGAATAAATAAAGGCACTGTGTGGGTGAAGAGGAAGCACTGGGTGACCCCCTGATGCCTGGAGGGGACCTCTGCAGGAACGTTGCTTGGACAAGGCTTGCTAGCTAGTAGCAGGTGGTAGGAGGTAATGCTGTATAGACAGGTAAGACCCACGGAGTAGCATAAAAATGAGACTTGGAAATTGGCATGTGATATAATAGATAATAAGCAGTTCTTCTAAGTGAGCCAGGAAGCAGTATTTAGGGAGGATTACTCTTGAAGAGGAATGTAACAGATTCCTGTATAACCTCCCTCATTCCAGCAATAAGTGATAGTTACCCACAGCCACAGGGACCAGTTAGAGAAACTCAGCCATCTCACTGATGTACTCCCAATGGTATATTTTACTTTTTGTGTTGAATAATTATTCATCAAAAATTGTATTATATGTAGGTTAAAATCATGCATGTAATTGTGGGGAGCAATCCGGACTAGACTAAGTTACTCGAATTAGGACTTATTCTATGCATCTGCTCTCCCACAATATGGCGCTGGGAGAGAAGTAAACAGCTTCCGCACAGCTGCCTCCAGTTCAACCAATTAACTGTAGGACTTGCTCCTGATTGGAGAGCAGCGTACTCAGCCGAGTTGGGATTGGCGGAGGAGGACTATAAAGGAGGAGAGAGACGGCATGCACCAGAAGCATCTATGGGGAACATCTAAGGGAACCCGTGCAGCCCCCGAGAGAACCGGCCGGCGGTGTGCCGCTCCCCTGCGGAAGTGGGGAATGCGGCCAGGGGGAACTGCCCTTCCACGGAGGTGGAAGGGATAGTAGCCAACCCGGGAAGAACCAGCAGCAAACCCGGGGAGGGCCGAGCAGACGAAAGAACAGCGCAGGGTCCTGTGTCGTTCCTCCACGAAGAGGGGGAGCGACATAATGGTGCCGTGACTCGGATAGGAAACCTAGCTCGGATAGGAAACCTAGGACGGATAGAAAACTTAGGAGGGAAGAAACGTGACTCGGATAGGAAACCTAGGACGGATAAAAAACTTAGGAGGGAAGAAACGGGAAGAACTGGGAAAATACCGGAGAGAGAGACTAGCAAACAGCCTAGGGAAAAGCCGGACGAAAAAGGAGCCGGAAGAAGCTATTGAAAGCCTAGGCATAGATTCGGATACGGACTACGGGGGGAAGCTGGGAGAAATCTCTAAGGTCGAAAGCGAAAGTGAAAGCTAGAACAAACAGACTCGGACGCGGACTGTGGGGAGAGGCCAGGAGAAATGAGGGAGGAATATCGTTGGAGGAAAGCTTGGGGAAACATACCGGGTAGAGAAAAATGTTAGGGAAATTGAAGCCGCGGGGGGCAGGCCAAGGCGGAAACGAAAGCCACTTTGGGATTCTCAAGTTAGCCCGGGAATGGGGGGCGAAAAGTTGAAACCAGAAGCTGAGACGTAAGCCAGATTGGGATCCGTCTGATTAGCCCGGGGAGCAAAGGACGGGAAGCCAGATCGTGGGGCGGAGACGTACGCTGGGTTGAATTCGCCAGGCTAGCCCGGGGAACTTAGATTGAATCCTAGTGGCGGAGACGCAAGCTACGCTGTGTTACTCGCGGAAGCCGCCGCGTGCAGAGAGAGCACGGGGCGTGAATAGATAGGGAACGCTGGCGTAGGCCGTGGTTCAGACGCGAAAGGGTTAAGCGTGGAGACCGCGAAGCCGAGCCGCGCAAAGCCGGGAAGCTGCGCAGATGAGAGAGGCGCGCGGGCTGAAGCGGCGCAGAGCCGGGAACCCGCCGGCGGGGCGAGGTGCCGGAAAGCTGCGGGGATAAGAGAAACAGAAGTTTAGAAGTAAAAGAGAAATAGGAATGTTGGCAGACAGAAGTAAAATGGGAGAAATAGAAATGCCCGGAGATAGAGAAATAGAGAAAAATAAGGCCTCCCCTCAACATGCCAATTAGGAGGCTTGGATTCGGTCTGCCTGATTTAAGGCGGTAAGCGCCAGCAAAGCTCGACCAGAGTATGAGCTGCAGGTCACCGAAGATAGGCACGAACCAACACTAATAAGTCTCCCCCACAATACGGCAATGAGAAGGCTTGGATTCGGTTTGCCTGATAGGTTTTGTAAACACCTGCAGGCAGTTCTAGCAGAGTAGAGCATGCGCTGCAGGGCACCGAACACAGGCACGCATCAGCGCCTAAAAACCTCCTCACAATGGCGAAGAGAGGACCCGGATTCGGTTTTCCTGATTGATAGGACTTGTAAGAGCCTGTGGCAACGCAAGCAAGTAGAGCAGAGTGTGTGCCGCGGGACACCGAAGACAGGCGCGTATCAACGCTAAAAAATAAAAAGAAAGGGGGATCTGTGGGGAGCAATCCGGACTAGACTAAGTTACTCGAATTAGGACTTATTCTATGCATCTGCTCTCCCACAATATGGCGCTGGGAGAGAAGTAAACAGCTTCCGCACAGCTGCCTCCAGTTCAACCAATTAACTGTAGGACTTGCTCCTGATTGGAGAGCAGCGTACTCAGCCGAGTTGGGATTGGCGGAGGAGGACTATAAAGGAGGAGAGAGACGGCATGCACCAGAAGCATCTATGGGGAACATCTAAGGGAACCCGTGCAGCCCCCGAGAGAACCGGCCGGCGGTGTGCCGCTCCCCTGCGGAAGTGGGGAATGCGGCCAGGGGGAACTGCCCTTCCACGGAGGTGGAAGGGATAGTAGCCAACCCGGGAAGAACCAGCAGCAAACCCGGGGAGGGCCGAGCAGACGAAAGAACAGCGCAGGGTCCTGTGTCGTTCCTCCACGAAGAGGGGGAGCGACATGTAATTAATAATTGTGTTGTACTCAACTGTATTAAGTAATAATTTTAATGGTAAGTCAAAAAAGTCAAAACTTCATCCTGTGCAACAGAAAATTTAAAATTTTTAGTTTTAATCTATGCAAGTAATTTTTTTACAGAAAATTGCAAGAGTAATAAATAAAATACGTTCAGCATAAGAGTGCATTTCATTAGGATAAAATTCTAGGAGATAATCAAATGGAAAAAATAATTCAAAGAGAAAAGGACAAATGAAAAATATCCAACTGTTAAAGAGCTTTTTCATATATATTTAAATGTATAATGGAGTGTATTAAATCTCTATGTCATTGAGACTCAGTAGGATACTTTTTTATTTTTAATGGGTAAATGATAATTACATGATTTATAGGGTACAATGTAATGTTTTGGTACATGAATATATAATGAAATTATAAAGTCAAGCTAATTGACATATCACTTCACATATGTATCTTCCTGTGTGTGAGGGAGGCAAATAGTGAAAAATCTACTCCCTTAGCACTTCTACAACATATGCTGCCAAGTGATTTACTTAGTCACCCTGCTGTGCAATAGATCTCAAAAACCACCCGTCCTTTCAGGCTGAAATCTTGGAGCCTTCAACTGCCTCCCACCCCCAGCTTCTGGAAACTACTATTCTACTCTGTCTTCTAGGAGTTTGCTTTTTTGTTTTTTGTTGGTTTTTTTTTTTTTTTTTTTTTTTTTTTTGAATCATGAAATATTTGTCTTTCTATGCCTGGCCATTGGACATATTTAAAATAGTGATTTTGAAGTATCACTTTGCTGATATGCCAAAAGCCATATCTTTTGCAACTATTTAAACTCATGCTGAAAAAAAAAATAAATTTCAGCTTTAAAATGAAGGAAGGGGAATCCAGTTTCTCAACAATTATTTTAGGAGAGGCACAGATAACAGCTATGAAAATCACCGTTCTAGATTAGGTGTCTGAGGTTGGAATTTCTGGGCCTGAAGAGCCGTGTCAGCTTTACAAAGCCAGACTCCCCGATGGTTGCTCCAGTGTCTCATCTACCAAAAGAGAAATGAGCAGCATACGTGAAATGTTACAAATATTAAAACTAAATATATTTTTAAATAGTTGCATTTTAATAACTTGCATTTTTAGTTAGCTTTTATTGTATGTTTAGCCATCATACAATGTAAAGCTTTTTTTTAAAAAAAGCAAGACGTGAGCTGGCGCCGTGACTCACTTGGTTAATCCTCCACCTGCGGCACCAGCATCCCATATGGGCGCCGGGTTCTAGTCCCGGTTGCTCCTCTTCCAGGCCAGCTCTCTGCTGTGGCCTGGGAAGGCAGTGGAGGATGGCCCAAGTACATGGGCGCCTGCACCCGCATGGGAAACCGGGAGGAAGTAACTGGCTCCTGGCTTCAGATC